CGGTTTGGCTCAATGGATAGAGTGTCGGCTTGGGGACTGAAGGGACCTGGGTTCGATTCCGGTCAAGGGCATGTACCTTGGTTGCGGGCATATCCCCAGTAGAGGGCGTGCAAGAGGCAGCTGATCGATGACTCTCTCTCATTGATATTTCTAGCTCTCTATCTCTCTCCCTTCCTCTCTGTACAAAATCAATAAAATATATATTTTTAAAAATGTGAAATTATGACAGTGCTGGGGGGCAGGGGAGAAGGTTCCCTTTCATAGGACACGTCATTGTTCTCAGCTCCCTGCTGGTTGGAACCAGAACTTCATCCTCATCTCCCCCCCCCCCCCCCCCCCCCATTACAAGGTTACAGTGTCATCTGGCCCTGGAGATGTTGACTGAGTGAGAAAGGGGAAGGCAAAGTCTCCTGTCTGGACACACATGGATTGGGAAAAGTGTGAGAATGCTGGTCCCGAAGTTACCCCTGCCCCCTGCAAAGCTTGTGGAAGGGTCTGGGAACGTCTCTCTTCTGTTCTGGAACCTGGTTCCCATGAACCTGGGGAAATGTTCCTGAATCTTAGAAAATAGGGCCATGACTTCTTATCCTGGTGTCATTTAGATCAAGCCCAGGGAATGGGGTCTTACTTATTTACTCCGTTTCGCCAAGTCACACTAACACATGGCAATTACAGAAAACAAGTAAAATAAGAAGTCAGCACCCTGCCCAGCAGAGTTTGACTTAGCAATCCACACTGAGATTTCTCTCCTGAGCTCCATCCTCCCACTTGTCTAGCACCCTTTCTCTCCTTGGCTTCTGACTTTCTCGATGTGACTAGTGGGTATTACAGCTTCTGCTTTGTAACTTGAAACCCCTGTTCAGTTATATAGACTGAAAAAAATAGGGCCCAACTCATTTTGAAAAAAATTTTTTTTTTCAATCTCTTTTGTAACCTTAGATTTCTTCATGAAAATTTCCATTCTTCTTCACTTCCTGATGCTCGTCGGCAATATTTAATTTCTTTTCGGATTGAAAGGGTTTTTAAATCACCAAAGGAACAGCAAACAGCTCCTATTGAGGATCATCTGTGATGTGTCATTGATCCATCTAGATATCATTGCATTTAATGTGTGCCTCCTATGTGCTATGGCATTTCCAATTGCTTTGAGGTACAGACATGATCCTGTTTTAGGGAAACAAAGAGTTGGGACAGTTGGATGGCTCACATGAATTCACCCACTAGGGAACTCAGTATGACATGTATTTTGGGTTAAAGTTTATGATGTGAATTCTGCACTTTGGCTCACCACTATTTCAATGTCCGATCATCAACAAATGAGATGAATGCCTCTGTTTCTGTCATTACCTTAAAGTGAAAATTATGAATGGAATAAGAAAATGCAGATCAAATCTCCCTTAAGAACATTAAGAGAACATCTGTGAGTGACAAACTCTTTCATGTTCTAGCAGAGAGCCTATCTATTACAAATTTCCACACACACACACACACACACACACACACACATATATATATATATATATATATATATATATATATATATATATATTTTGCTATAAAAAAATAGGAATGTTTATTGGGATTTACTGTATCTGGTGATTTAAAAATATTCTTTGTTTGATTTAATGTAAACGTTTGGATTGATTACAGGTGGGTCCACCTTGTCAGCAAACATAACGGATTACTTCTTTTTTTCATTGATTTCTCCTAGGATTTTGTCATGTTTATATGCACGAGAGACAAATACAGGCAATCTCATAGGGCTCCATCTATTCAGGTTTCAAATGGGATAGGGGCAACTTTTTTTTTGCAAAAGGAGAGTGATCCATGAAAAAAGAAAATTGGTGTTCCTGGGCTTATTTTTAAATTTTAAAGGCACAAGTTAAAACTATCTCTTAGCCATGAATCCCATTATTATTCTGTTCTTTGTAGTTGTGGCTTTTGTAGCTATGGCTTTGGATGGATCCTTTGTGCCCCATTCAGATAGGACTCTTCCCCTTCAAGGCAACAAGGTGAACACTGTCATAGAGACCAGCTTTTATCCTTAGCTACGTCCACTGACTTGGTTTAACTAGAAGTCATTGACTAATTTTCCCGTGTCAGCTCGTTGCCATTTGAATGGGCGCTGGGCTTTTGGATTATTCTTTCCTGTGCATGGTATAGGGACACATTCAACCCTCTCTTCCCTATCCTCATGCATAGTTTTCTTTCTTCAAGTGAGTTACGGTTTTGGTTTTGTTGGGTTCGTAAAGATAGTTTATGTTCAGTATTATTGCCGAATTTCCCAGAATGGCTTATTTGAGGTCCTGTGGTGAGAGTACTCCAGGGCACCCAGTCCCCATTCCTCTGAGTTTCAAGCTACAAACTGGCTTCCTTTCTAAAGTGGAGGTTTCTCAGGCCACACGTCACCGTACCAGGCTGCTGAGAGGACAGTACTGGTGCTTCAGGAAGGACCATCTGTGGCCATGGAGCCCATGAACCTTTGCTGTGCCTGATCGCTTCTGCCACCAAGTGTATTGGCGATTTCTCCTCTGCTGGGTCTGTCCTTTAGAGACTGATGGATAGATAGAATTCGGTCACACATGGCAAGAATTTTTATTTATGATGTACTTCCTTTTATTTACTTTTTTTTTTTTTTTTTTTTTTTTTTTGGTTTGAAGTGTGAACACTCCCTCTTACCCTGGCTGCACACCTGTTCTAGAAACGCTGTAAAGTGTAAACAACATTGTACTTCCCTGTACAAACCGCCTGTCACAGTCAAAGCTTGCTGTTCTCATCCCAGTAATTACCTCCTCCGTTTAGACTTACTGCAAGCCAAGATTCCACTTTCTTGTAATATAATAAATAGAAGACATTAGGTAATTAGTGGTGCTGGTATATTTCTGAAATACTAAACAGACAAACAATAAACTGTGAACTTAATCACATGAGTTCTTATACAGTCTCAAGGCAGAAAAATTAGAGCTCTCAGCTACAGTCATTTTAATAATCACACTGGATCTGCATTATTTATTAGTTATTACATGCTCAAGTGATTCAAGGTTGTACAATGCCTAAAATCATTCCAAAGCAAGCATACCTTTTGTCTTTTTTTTTTTTTTTAACTCTGACTGGATTACACAATGCATATATTTGAATTTAGTTAAATCGTTTAGTTCACACATTTCATGAAAGAAACATCAGCCATTCTCTTGATTTCCAACCAGACTGGCTTTTAAAAACACAATCCCCAGTAAGGGACTGATTTGCTAGCTCTTTTTGATATAAAATATCTGCAAACCTTCAGCCAGATTCTCAATGTTTTTGGTTTTCTAGCAAATCGCTAGTACCCTCAGAATTCCCTTGGAAGACCCAGGAATTCTGGAAAGACAAGTAGCTTGTAGAGGCACAAAAGACAGTTAGAACCTCAATTTCTGTCAGTAGCTTTCAAATTTGATGTCCACTCCACCCCACCCCCTTTTTTTTTTGCTGCCTGATTACTCACCTTTCATTTTCAGATATATTCTTGACGGTATGCCTTCCCTCCTTTCCTTTCACCCCTGGCTCAATTCCTAAATGTTTCCTGGATTTTGTGAAAAGCATGCAGCTTGAGGAATTTTGGTTGATTCGACTTTAATTTTTATAAATTCTTTTTGGAGGAGGGGAATTTACAGAATTGACCATACCCAACTGAGAACCAAGAGTCAACTCTTTCAGATCAAGTACCTGTCGTTTGGTCTTGAAGCTTGTGTGACTTGTAGGGCAATTTCTCTGTTAAATTGTACAAAGAAAGAAAGTTCTTAAATATCGTAGTTTTTCATTTGCATCAACCAACAAAATGTAAAAATAAGGATTAGTTACTTTGATTTGTTGCTAAATGAAAAGTAGTTTTGGCTTTTTTTCATGTCACCGTAAAAACTAAATAATAAAGTATTCACACCAAGCGTGAATTTTTTTTTTTTTGCCAGCAAAATTTAAAACATCAAAGAAACCTCTTTCAAATACTAACAAATTTACTTACAAACACCTATATTTATTATTTCATAAATAGGCGCAACAGGTTCCATAAAAAAGATTAAATACAGACACAGTATGGAGAAACAATAATACAGAGCCATATGTAAAGGTTATAATTTAGCTGTTTCCAATCTGTTTCTGCATCTAATAAAATACCAGGTAAGCATTTGGCAGTTTTTATACATAAAAGGACTTAAATGACATTTACTAACCATTACACAAAAAGTGATACAAAAAGCAATTCTTCTGCAGTACAAAATAAATGTGTTTGCGCTTCCCTTAACACTAGCTTCATTTTTGTCTGATCAATGAGACAAAGCCAATTCGTTTTTAAATTAAAATCATTTGGGAATACGTTGTTTTTTTTTTCTCAAATATTTTGAAAATATAGAACTATTAGTCAGTTTGTTTTAAAAATGAAGTAAAAATATGAATGTTTGCCAATTTAACCCCTATTGTGAAATCAATAAACTGGAATGAGCCAGTTTCAAATTACAATTTAGCTACAAAAACATTCACATTTTATACTCTAGGAGAGTGTGACATAGATGCTATTTACAAAGTTGCTATGACTGCTACATCAAGCCATTTAAAAAGTCTTTAGTAGTTTCATATAAACACCCATTATGAAAACCAATGGAAAATCCAGGACTTTTGTCCGAGACATCTACAGTTGCTAAGGCAGTTACTATAGCGCAGCACTTCACAGCAAAAAAAAACAAAAAAAAAACCCAAACAACAACATAAAATCTGAATGGTCCAAATTTCCTTCAGGGAAGAAGAAAAACAATGTCCATAAAGGATTAAAAAAATAATAAAGAAGCATGACTATGTCTTCCAGAGTGGGGTTGACCCACAAGCTCAAATGGTCCTAAGTGCTTAGCAACTTGTATTTTTTTTTTTTTCTCTCTCTACTAAAATGGAGAATTGCCTTGACTGTACAAAGCAATCCACGGCGGAGACTTCCCTGAATTCCTCAGTGGACAGAAGAGGCGTTCAGATTCTCAGGTAAGGTACAGCGCTTTGTCCCGCTGCATGCCCCTGGAGGGAGAGGAAACAGAATGGCTTGTTACACACACAAGGGGCATGCTATAGGGGACCTGGGGGCCTGCACGCTTATTTGCTGTAGCTTAAAGGATGAGAAAGTGTGTCCTGGAAACGTGCACTGTTAGTTAGCCTGCACCTGCAACTACAGGGAACAGGGATCTCAAGGCAGTTCTTCTCGGTACAGCTAGTAGTAGAGTGCTTACATATTTCTGGAGCTTTCCGAAAATGTCTTCTGCTTTCAGGAATGCGGGACCATTCCAGATTATTATTATTATTAATTTCTTTATTAAGGTATCATATATTTGTCCTCAACCCCCCATTCCAATCTCCCCCCCCCCCCCCACACACACACTCATGCCCCCACCTCCCTATTGTCCTTGACCACTGGTTAGGCTCACATGTATGCACACAAGTCCTTTGGTTGATCTCTCCCCTTTATCCCCACCCTCCCTCTGAGGTCCAACAGTCTGACCCATGGCTCCTTATCTCTGGGTCTGTTCTTGTTCATCAGTCTATGTTGTTCACCATTTCCCCTAGATGAGTGAGATCATGTCCTACTGGAAATATACTTATAAGAATAAAAAATGAGACAAGCAATAAGCATTATGCAGATAATCTTTTAGACAGCAGCAAGAGAAGATAGGGCCACGCTGGGCATGCTAGGAGAGCTGCCCACCACCAGGTGGCGGTGAGCGGCCACTTACCCACTACTGCAGTAGTCGTTATTCCAGTCCACGGGCTGGGCGGCAGGGTTTCTGCACCCAGAACGCACATACTCCATTGCTTGGGTAACCACTTGTGCAGCTGTGGATGTAGGATTGATTATAGTCTGATAGTCCGGCGGAAGGGTAAATCCCTGAAAGGGAAAGCATGCCACCAATAAGGATCCGAGTGCCTTTCTAAGGAAGAAATGCACCTAAATATTTATCCACTGTTTGCAAACACATCGCGACCTTCCTGCTTGTATCTCTTTGCAAGGGCAAGTTTATGCGAAGGGCACAGAGAAACTTAAAACAAAGGTAGAAAAGAAATGCCTGCATCCTCATTCGTATCTTTCCTTCTTTGAACCATGTTAGAAAACCTTTCATTACACTCTTGGGCAGATAAATTGGAATTAAAAAAAAATTAAAAATCTAGAGAAGCTAATTCAGTCCAAAACAAAGGGAAGAAGGTCCACACCTCTCAAAGTTTTTATTTTCTATCAAACTGAAGGATACATGAATAGTTAACTCCCAGAATATGCAATAGAATCTTTTTTTGAAGGATTCAGGCAGCAGGTGGCTGAGTGTTTTATTAGACTACACCTATTCATATATTGTTCTCAAAACCCTTTTTCTTCATTCATTCACAAAGGGACCATCTGCCTCTTCTTTTATTTGTACTTTTTTTTTCCCTCTCAGCTAAAAAATTTCAACCAAAGCTTTTTAACAGTTGTTGGACTAATATAGGAAAGATTCAAAACAACTTGCCATTGGAAAACACAGAGAAGGAAAAGTGTAAGACAGAGCAAATAATTTTAATTGAAAAGTCTATTAACTGGCAAACAATGATCAGACTTCAGGAAGATTCTTTTAATACACTGGTGTGGTGAAGTATTGACTTTTAATCCTTGCAAAGCTATTAAAAATTCAAGGACAGAATCTCTGAAGAATATATTTATACCTGGTAAATAAAAAGCATTATACACTACAATTTATTTTTAGCTTATCTGGTGAATTCAAGAGCAGCATAAGCAAGCTTTGCTGGAAAGAACCAAAAAAAGCAACTTAATTAATCTTGTGGTCTTCTCTTTCTACAGCCTATTTCATATATGGTTTTTAACCACTGGAAAAAGAAAATCAAGATATTTTAAAACGAACCATTCTCCATTTAGTGCAGAGAGCTTTAAAAGGCATAATTATTGTTGAGTTCTTAACTTTTTTTTTTTTTAACTTAGCAGAATGGTCAGAGAATTAATTTCTCACTCAAGATATTTCCTTAGACTTTTATCCATGTATGAATGTTCATTGGCACATTCAATGTCCTCTTCTGCTCAAAGTCACCTATCGCCAAATGTCCTCAATTCTCTATTGTGGCTTTAAGGCACTCATTTATTTTCTGTTTAAGTGATAAAGACTTCAAGCCAATGTTCACACTAACTCCTACCAAAGCTGTGGATGAAAGACAAAGGGAATTCAGCCAGCCTGGTTATTTGACCTCACACAGACTAGAGGGAATAGAATGTTTCCTAAACTAACTACTGGTTTATGGGAAATACATTTGTTTATATAGACACCATTTGCAGCGCAAGCTATAAGCATTTCCCAAAAGAACAAGATGAGAAGTAAGAGGTAGTACTGGCTGTGGGCCCCAAGTCCTTCCTCTCTCTCTCTCCAGAACCCTCCCCCATCTGTCTGGCTTCTGTGGAGTGTCCTCATTTCATTATGGTCCTATATTGTTGTCTTGATGGTCCCACTGTCCAGTTTTTTTGACTTTTTCTCTTAGTGTCTAGTGTGATGCTGAGCACACAGCAGCAAAAAACTCTAAGAATGACCTCCTGTTAACTTCCATTTCAGTCCCTGTGTCAGGGGCTGGCCAGAGGGACTTGAGATTCAGAGTGCTTGCCTTGGTCACTGGTTATTCGCAGGGAGCACCCCATAGCAGTGCCTCAATAAACAATGTCTTCCAATGAATGCCGTTTAACACAGAACATTCAAAGTTACTGTTGGAAAGGCATGGGGAGTATAGATAAGTAAATGCCAGGGCTTTCCTATCTTTTGATGAAAAATTCTCCATATTGGATTTCAGCACAATCAACAAAATGTAATCTAAAAGTAAATGGATCTCAAAAACAAGAGCAGTTGAAAAATATCTTGAATTAGTTAAAAGTATGGGGACATACGAAAAATATACATAAAAACAAACCAAACCACTTCCACCTAACCCCACCCTATCAACAACAGAAACTACCATTGCTCCGCCCCCTCTACCCCCTTAACCCAACCAATGAAAATAGTTCCTCAAGATTGGGAAGAGAACATCTGGAGAACGTTAATTTTTAAGTTATTAGTGTAGGAGTAAATGGGCAGTTTCAGTTTATAAAACCCAAATTAGCCCTGGCTGGGTAGCTCAGTTGGTTAGAGTGTTATCTTGATATGCCAAGGTTGTGAGTTGGATCCCTGGTCAGGCCACGTACAGGAAGCAACCAATGGATGCATAAATGGGTGGAACAACAAAATCAATCTCTCTCTCTCTTTCTTTCTCCCTTCCTCTCTCTAAAAGTCAATAAGAAAATAAAACAAAACCAAAATTATGTGCTACCTACCAAGTTCAAAGATTTTAAAATTCAGCTAATTTCCAGTGCTTCAAATTAAGATCCTTAATATGAAAACAAGAGAGGGCCAAGAAAAATGAAAGCAAAACCTGAAGTAAATCATTTTACTTGCTTTCAAATTAAAAAAGAAAGAAAGAAACATTCTCCTGAACACTATATACAGAGCTGCTGAGGTCAGACGTAGAGCTAAAAACATTTTTATTATTGATGTAAATATGAAACAACAATGATGATATAAATTTTTGAAAAATGTTGGCTTAGCAGTCTAATTAAACAAGACTGAATAGTTTGCATTTTAATGCTCAAGAGAAAAATCACCAACTGTTTTGTAGCATGCCTGGAATTCTAAATTTCATTTTCTGGTGCCAGATTGAAATAAAAATAGGAAACATGATAAAGATTAATTTGATGTCAGAAGGGACATTTGCTCTTTAATTAGATTTCTGTAGCCTTCGCAGTTTTGTTGTGCCACCATAGCAAGTCCTACAGAGCCTGCAGCACAACCAAACACTGATCCTCATATCCACACTTTACTGGGAACTAATTTCATTTCCTGCCTGTCTGGAGAGGTATTTTCACCAGGCATCAATGTGTTTGTCTTCACAACTGATTTATTCATCAATCTCAATGTGATTTTTTTTTAAAACCTTTAAATTACACTCAAATCCTAAAGAAGCTGTTTATTACACAAATTGAAAATCTGTCTGTGTGATATCACACAAAGATTATTTTCTTAAGGTTATAAAGGAAGTTGACAGATATTAATGATTTTTTTTCTTGACCTCATTCGACATTATAGTGAACAACAACAACAACAAAAAAAACAAAAAAAAAAAAAGGAAGAAAACTGAACCAAAACAAGCTGGTCTATGAATTTAGTGTATAAAAATATTTCTCTAGCCGAGGCCGGTTTGGCTCAGTGGTAGAGCGTCGGTCTGCGGACTGAAGGGTCCCAGGTTCGATTCCGGTCGAGGGCATGTACATTGGTTGCAGGCACATCCCTGGTAGGGGGTGTGCAAGAGGCAGCTGGTCGATGGTTCTCCCTCATTGACGTTTCTAGCTCTCTATCTCACTCCCTTCCTCCTCTCTGTAAAATATCAATAAAATATATTAAAAAAAAAAAAATATTTCTCTAGGAAAAAAAAAAGAAATCATTATTCCTGGTGGACTATGCAATCATTCTGTAGGATGTATTTGTTTTCAAAAGGATAATAAAATAGCTAAAGTAATACTAAAATGTGAGCCATTATTTTAAAAATACAGTAGCTTTCTCTAACTTTCTCTTTTTCTTTTTTCCTTTGATGTTTGAATATGTGAGCATGGCCCCCATGCCCAGGAAGCAAACATCTTTAAGATAAAAGGTGCTTCGGTGGATGCCTCGAACAGGTGTAATTACATCCATAATCTGGCTCTATGACCATAGGCTAAGGACCAATGTGGATGACGTGGACACGTGGACACTGGCCCCTATACCCTGTTGTGATGGTAATGAATTGAGTGACATCAAGGGCTAATGGACTCCTTGATCCTGATTTGAGGATTAATAATTTGTTGGGGAGGCCTGTCCTTTCACTTAGAGGATTGAATTCTGATGACCTGCCCATGAGTCGGATCTCAATCCCATCATTCTCCCTTTGTTCACCGGGTTCCCCACTGGCCATCTTTCCATGTCCTGAATCAGCCACCCTCCTCCCCAGCATAGTCCTTCCAGTCTGGAACCTCTTCTCCTTCCTGCTCTCCTGGCTTTCCTCCCACACCCTTCCCACCTCCCAGGATCGTCAGGTGTCTGTGTCAGCCCTGGATGGGACCTTCCTTATGCATTCTAGCCAAAGGCTCTGCCCTCCCTGCATGAACCCTGCAGTTTGTCCTCCTCTATTATTTTTTTTTTCCCATGAGACTTTACTAATTTACCTGTTGAGGTTATTACACCCCCCGCTACTCATCCAACTCTGATGTGAGCTCATTGCCTGTTCTCACTGATCATTCAATTTCCAGAGCCTAGGCAGTGTCTGGCACACAGTAGGGGTTCTATTAATCTTTTTGGAATAAATAAAAGCTTTATAAACTTCCAGAAAAATAAATAAATTAAAAAAAAAACTTTCAGGAAATTAAGGTTCTGCAAACCACCCTGTAATTTCTTCTAATGTTTAAACACTTTTAGAATTCATTTTTAAAAATGCTCTCCTTTGTCCATTCACCATCATTTCATTGACTACCTCCCGGGGTCAGGGCAATGTTAGAAGTGATGCCAGTCACTGCAGTCTTTGGGTCTCCACATTGGGCCCATGCCTTTTTGTCTTCTGTAACTCATGTAAATTGAAATCAGGTCTTACCACTTCGGCAAGGGATCCACTAATAGAACTGACTTACAGATTGATGAATAACCTGCCCAATGTGACTCATTCTATTTTTTTCCTACTCAGACCTCTTGAGTTTTCACATGTGGCCTTACATAATTCTGAAATATTAAAAATTAGTCAGGGTCATGACCAACTCACCTAAGGTATTAGTGTATATATAAAAAAGGAACCATTTCTCATTGGATACATTAGAAAAAAAAAAAAAAAGGTGTCCTTTCTGGACAGAGCTCTAGTCCTCAATTTGTTGAGGAGATTGTGACTTCCATATTCTTTCCTCTGAGAAGAAATCGCCCTGTAGTACAGTACCATGAGCAAAGCATGGGCCCGGAGCTGGCAGCAAGTCCCCTTAGGCAGGATTCAGCCCACACAACTGAAGGTTGTGTCTTTTAGACTATTAATCCTTCACAGAAACACTACTGGGTTATTAAAATGCAAGGACACCCAGAAGGATCCCTGATATTGTGAGTGATGTCTGATGGAAAGACCGGAAATTTGACCCTATGAGCATCAGTTGCTGACCACAAATTCCAATGTGGACAAGGCAAGTGGTGGAAGTTGGCTTTCCCGAGTCTTCTTCCCTAGTGAGTCAACAACTAGTTTGTTGAGCTTAGCTAAGTAAGTTGTCAGAGCTTTATCAATTTCCTTGGCTTAGAGACCAAGGAAGACGTCAGCTATGCACTCCATAATCATGCTGATCTTAAAACTAATTAGAATGTAAAGACTCTCCAAATTCTAATAAGACACAGATTTTCTAGGGCAACACTGGTAATAGTCTGTAAGGATGATTAAAAGCGAGAGGCAGCTGGTCTAGCATTTAAGAATCCAGGCTCTGATTTCTGAATAGACTGTAGTGTGCTCTGACCTATGAGCACATTATTCAACTCTGCCAACCTGAGTTTCCTCACCTGTAAAATAAGATAATGCTAACAGTGCCCACATTATAAATTTTCTGGAATTAAGGAGAAGATAAGGTAATATACTGAGATTTGCTATTGTCAGCTCTCAGAAATTCTGCCTATAAATACAATAATAAAAATGAATTTGAGAGTATTTATATTTAATTCCTCTCCATCCTCTCATAGTCCAATGAAAAATTCCTGTACGGGGTGCATGCCCAGTAGAAGCCAAAAATGACACACAAAAAAAAGAAATACATGCATCACAGAAGCCAAAGGGGAAATGCCTAATCTAAAAAGAAGACTGAACTGGGTAGGGGGAGGGCCCAACACAAGCCTTCAAAGATTGAAAAAATACATTGATTAGGAAAAGGGCCTAGCACAAGCCCATGAAAAGAAAAATTGATTGACTTAAGTCCAAAATAATATAATCAAAATGTAATAAAGGTCTCTCTCTCCCTGTATAACACACATTAATTGGTTGCCCATTCCCTCTAACAGCGTTGCGGGCCTAGCAGCCTCTCCGGCTGAAGTGAGAACTTTGAGCGGGGCTCCCCATGCAGGCCCAGCAGCCCCGGGGACCCAAATGCAGGCCTGGGTACAACAACACAACACCAGAGCCAGCCAAACACAGAGACTAACCTACCCAAATGGAAACAGAGACTTAACTGGACTCAACTTTGACATGGACTGAACCATTAACAGACTTTCTAATTCTAGACCAGTGGTCTGTAAACTCATTGCTCAACAGAGCCAAATATCAACAGAACAACTATTGAAATTTCTTTTGAGAGCCGAAAACTGACTTCTGCACGTGGGCCATGAAGTTTCAATCTTACTGTACATGTGCGCCTGCACATGGTATTTTGTGGAAGAGCCACATTCAAGGAGCCAAAGAGCCTCATGTGGTTAGTGAGCTGCAGTTTGCCGACCACTGTTCTAGACTTAATGAAGAGAAGACTCAACTTTTTCAACAGCATGATGAATGGAAATAAGACACTGGAACCTGGGAACAGTCTTATATTTCCATCCCAGTAAATCTTACCACTACACCTTATCCCATATAAGAGCCCTAAAAATGCTTTTCTTGGAACTCCATAAAAGGACCCCATTTCCACTAGCAATACAACTATAGACTCAAATTCCACAGAGGCCTAGATATCAATTCTTAAAAAAAAAAGTAACCTATATTTTTTATTGATTTTAGAGAGGAAGGGAGAGATAGAAACACCAATGATGAGAGAGAATCCTTGATCGGCTGCCTCCTGTGTGCCCCTTACTGGGGATGGAGCCCACGACCTGGGTATGTGCCTGACCAGGGAATCAAACTATGACCTCCTGATTCATAGGTTGATGCTCAATCGCTGAGCAACACTGGCTGGGCTAGATATCAATTCTATAGGAAGGCTATGTTTGGATATTTAACTCTGACTCTGGAAACAGTAGAGTCATTTATAACAGTGAGATATATCTGATAGCATTTGTAGGTTTCATCTTGACCTATATTTTAAAACAAGTTTTTATGATTTTTAAATGCTTTATGCCCAGTTTAGTTTACACCATTTGCTCATTTTCAAATTTTAAAATTAAAACAAACCCCAAAGGAAAACTTAATTTCAAAGAAAAGGTAAGATTGCACACAAATGGTTTCAATAATTGCAGCGTGAGCAGGGAGCTTTCCAAAGCTCTTACATTTGCTAATGTATGCAGAAGCCAGGTATCCATTTTAAAATAAAACTGGTTAAATGTTCACTTCTTAGCCCGTTTAAAGTTGAACCCATTGATATTTCAGGCCAGAAACAGTGGGCCTGATTTCAGTTTTCCGCATTTATTGGACTCAGCAGTCATGCCTACCAGGAGTTCCTTACAGCTGAACAATATTCTAAAAAACAATATAGAGGTCTCAGTCCCAAAGAGATCTTTAGTAGCAGTTGGTATCTCGAAACAGCAAATGTACTTTACTCAAGCAGAAAACAAGGGCGATTAGAAGGGTGAAGCAAAATGGACACCATGAGAAGGAAACCGGTGATTATGAAAAGCAACAGCCATCAATTATCGTGATTGTATAATGCTGCCTGTACTCGCCACCTGTAAATGATATTTTTCAGAAAGCAGATATTTGTTGAATATCTTCAATTCTCTCTCCATTTAAATATAAAACACATATCCCCCTCCTTGACTGGAGGAACAAACCCTCTCTTCCCCTCCCTCCGCCACCCCTCCCCATGCACTTCTGAAGAGGAGTCCACAGTGCGAGCACATACCTGCTGCATGGTGGGTGAGTGTAAGGCAGACTGGACCTGCATGGGGAGCTGGTTCCCAAGGGGCTGCTGCATGCTGAGTGGCTGGTGCTGCTGCATGTTGAGATGCTGGTGAAGAGGTGGGCTGATCTGGAGGGGAGGAGGGGGGGACACGGCCATGTTCGCTATAGACACAGTCACTGGCATTTGGTTGTTCGGCTTGGGGGCTATGCTCCTGGGGAGACTGGGGTGCATGGCAGTTAGGTGAGGGTTCATCCCTGGTTGTTGGTGATAGTGGGAACTTAGGTACAGAGCTGAGTGGGCCTGGCTGGGCCCGTGGAACACTGACGGCTTTGAACTGATCAGCTGAGGCGGCTGAGAGGTCTTCACATCAACAGGTTCGCTGTAGCTCTGTGGGCAAAACAAACAAGAGCAGCGCTAAGAGACTGACCCACTCGGTGTGATTTCTATTAACAAGATGTTCTGTGAGTTTATACATGAACTTCCGTGTGACTCAACACTCATTACAATTCTTTTTGTTTGTTTTTGTTGGTTAGTCGTTACCCAGGGATATCTTTCCCATTGATTTTTAGAAAGGGTGGGAGGGAGAGAGAGACAGAGACTGAGAGAAACATCGAAGTGAGAGAGACACATCAATGGTTGCCTCCCACAGTTCCTTGACCAGGACAGGAGATTGAGCCTGCAACTGAGGAGGTATATGCCCTTGACCAGAATCGAACCCAGGATCTTTCATTCCACAGGCTGGTGCTCTACCCACTGAGCAAAACTGACAAAAGCCCATTACTATTCTTGATTCTCTTACCCAAGAACTCTGCCATCATTAATTTGCAAGGCTGAGCTTCTTCTATCTCTGATATAAAATCTAAGACCATCTATGATGACTTTTTTTTTTTTTTTTTTTTTTTTTGTATAAATGCTAAGCCTTAATTTGGTGGCCTTTCTTATCCTCCAAATAAAGAGAAAAAGATCAGGGTGAGATGGATGCCATCATTGTCCTAATAGGAAATGCATGCGTAGCTCACTTTGAAAGTAATTCAGTGTTGGAGTTCTTCTATTGATTATCTGTTTAGTTTTGTCTTTTTTCTTTTTGTATTCTCAAAGAGCCTTGGCCTAGATATTTGCACAAAGAAATCAAAGCCGGTTGATGGAAATGGATATGGAAGCAACGAGTTCTAAAATACCTTTCAGAAGTCATATAAAACCACATTAATATATCTTCAAAGTAACCATAGAACTCATCTTGGTTTTTAAAGAAGTTGGTGATGAATTGTCCCCCATAATGAACTGGATAAAAATAATCTCTCTTAGAAATTTTAGGCTCCATCATAAATGAATATAATTTTGCCCTAATTTTTTTTCATACCTTCACAGGGCCATTTCCTAATAATCTTTTAATTGGCTGAAAAACGAGACATATCAGTGGAAAGCTGAAAGGAATTAAGAATTAGCCCCGAGGCATTTCTTTTTGGGCATGAGCCCACCTCCTACTTTTGCGGAGAGGAAGAGGCTGATATAACACATGGTGAAAGGTGAAACCAGCTGGAGAAAGAAAATGCTGAAATGTCCTTCTGGGGGAAAAAAACAAGGTCTTGATGATGCATAGATGCCCTTATCCTGCGACCTCTGTGTCCCGCTTATTCAGTTTGTAAATCAGAATGAGGTTCTTGTTCCTCCCAGCAATGCAGGATCCTCCTGAGTTCCTTTAGCTCTGTGCGGCTCCATCAACGGACAGGTACGCTAGGCAGGCTAGTTCATCGCACATGAAACTCAACATTGCTAGCAGCACAAGTCATTTCCCCTCAATAATGTAGGGAAATTAAATAAAACCACAGTAAGAACAATGCTGCATGTGTGTGCTGACGCGAGGAGGGTAGGCTGGTTAAATGGACTACCACCCCAGAAGCTGTTTCTATAGGAAGGATGCAACATCTGTAAAAATGTGCCCAACCATGGAAATCTGGGGTCCCCTGAGACTGAATACTCCATGCAGAGCCTATAGTTAGGGTGTATCCAAAGGGTTCAAGCTCCGCCAAAGAATCCTCTCATTATTTCTCTCTGTCCATGTTGATGTAGCCTTCCCAACTAGAAATGGACATTCAGGTGCCCTATCTTCTGCGGTGACATTAGGAATGTCAAAAATTGTTCACAGAAATTTTCAAGGGGAGGCTTTAGACCAAAGAAGCATTATTAAATAGTAGAGGCCTGATGCACGAAATTCATGCAAGAATAGGCCTTCCTTCCCCTAGCTGCCAGCACAGGCTTCCCTATGGCACCGGGGTCCCTGGCAGCCCTGCCTTTGTCCCGAAGGATGTCAAGAAGGACATCTGGTCTAATTAGCATATTTTGCTTTTATTATTATAGATAGAACCTAAAAGGTGCTTTCCATTACAAAATTAAGTCAAAAAATATTTTGGCTTCCATTTAAAAAAGTCTTATTGTTGATGCACAGAGCAGTGAACAATTCAAGGAAAAGGTCAGTCAGGTTAATCCAGGCCACATAAACACTGACTAGTTCTATATCAGAGCAGCATGTACTGGGGTGATATGCCTCAAACATCATTCTGTACATGCCAAGACGATATATGTTTACTGTGTGTCTCTGTGTTTTTGTCATCAGGGAAAGTGTTTTCATTGCATTTGCATTCCTTCCTCTGAGCCCACTGCACAAGGGTTAATTTCATATTTAGTCACATACTGTGGCACTGTCATTCAGGAAATAAACGATTGCACAATGAGCAGAATGCTATCACACTTAATGCCTGTTAGTGCATCTTTACTTTTTGCTTTATCGATGTTTTAATTCAAACATAAGAAAAATCACTCACATTTACCATATTCTCAAAACCATGAAATACATGTAATGGTAACATGTTTGTTTTTTTTTTAATCTAAGTAGCCAATAATGCCTTATTATACACTGATCTGGGAAATAGAGCTTTAGATACGTAGCCTGACCTTGCATATACACCTGTGAGTATGTAAACCAAACGTATAGACATATATATGACATGTTCAGACACGTATAATCATCCCAAGAATTACAACAATAAATTTATAACTACATACGTTTATTTATTTAAATTAAACAACGTAAGGCAATGTACTTATGCCACACTAGAAGTGACTAATCCTAGTGAGTATAGACACATAGCAAACAGCAGGGCTGGCTTCATGGGTGGATAGCCAGTCTTGGCAAGCAGTTCTAGGTATAACATCCACTTCACACCCCGACGCACACAGTTTCAAGCTGCATTGTGGAAAAATAAATATCTTAAAACAGCCAGGTTCCGTGAGAGAACATGTGTGGAAATAGCACTGGGTCAGAGAAGATTAAGGGGTTGCCTTCTAGCAGGACTTCTCAGAACATTCCCTCTGTGAATCTATGTCCTGAATCTATAAATAAGAACCACAAGTCTTCTCTTAATGGGTCACTTCATGGCAATAGTTTTCAATGAGAAATATTGGTGCAGAAAAATTAATAAATCACACACACAATTTAAATTGGCAAATAGTGTGGAGAGCAGCCGCTACAGCGTTTGGGCAGGTTCAATCCTTGTACGGATGAGAGGGCATTGTGCTCTCCTGGCAAAGCCAGGTGCAGGTCCCGGCTTTGAGGGCAAAGCCCTCTCAGCACAATTACAGCTAAAGACTATGGTTGTAAGCTTGTCCTTATGGTCTGAACCCCTGGGCCCAGGTGGCTGAGTGATATAGGCTGCAGGAGGTGCAGCAAGTGCTGCCAAAACAAGGCTTGATAGAGTTCTCAGGTGCATGTGATGAAGTAGATTCGAAACTCTCAAGAACATTGTAAACATCTTGACCACGTCCTTGCTTTGCCTCGTGGGATCTGAGTATAAAATAAAGACTCGGCTTACAGGTTGTGGCACTGTCTCTCCACCTGAGAACAGTGCCCCACCTGGCCCCAGCTACATTTTCTTGTCTGTTTTCTTTAACCCTTCACTGTGCACCCTCCCCTCCCTCAGGTCCATCACTGACTGTGCTAGATGCGGTTCAAAATAGAACATACATTTTAATTTAAATAGTCATGTTTCTTGCCTCAAACTAACTTTTTATTGCCTCACAATGCATAGTGAAATTTCATGCATTCAGGTACAATATTAAAATAATCATTATTTCATGTTTCCTGGAGTAAGATTTGCATAGTGAATTTCATATTCTCAGCTAAGGACTGTGACAGTTTCTTGAAGGGTTTAGGCACTTGGCAGCTTCCCAATTAGATCCTAGAAGAGCGAAGGCATACACATGCTAATGGTTTTCCTCAACGGTGAATTCAAAATAAACAATGAGCCAAATTCTCCCAAATTTCACTTTTTAAATAACAGCATGTAGTCCACCACATTGATAGATGATAGATGTAGAGGTAGAGGTAGAAGTATAGACTTATAGATATATAGAAATAGATTGCAACCTAATCCAAGATACTTGATTGCCAACCTTGTGAAGGCTCTTTTCTCCTGGTAAACACAAAACCTTTTGTCTATTTAGCCATTTCTTTGTCATCCATCTTCTCCCAACTAAGACATGCAAAGATCAGTAATGCTAAACCTAAATAGCAGTAACTTTTAATCACTGGAAGAAATATGGGCAAACTAAACAGATTTCTAAAAGGAATGATTTAAACAACACTAACCCGTAATTTGTAATATACAGGGAGAAAGAATCTTGGGAAATTATGTGATTTCTCTTCACTTTCCAAGATACTTAATGAGACAAGATAAATAATGTGTCTAGGCAAGTGACTGTGCATGGCAGGCACCCCAACAGGGGTTCTCTCCCTGTATTCTCTCTTTATTTTATTATTTTTAAATATATTATATATATATATTACATAGAGGAAGAGAGAGAGATAGAGTTAGAAACATGAATGAGAATTATCGATCAGCTGCCTCTTACACACCCCCTACTGGGGATGTGCCCACAATCAAGGTACATGCCCTTGACCAGAATGGAACCTGGGACCCTTCAGTCCGCAGGCCAACGCTCTATCCATTGAGCCAAACCGGTTTCGGCTGTATTCTCTCTTTAAAATGAAGTCCTCCAGTTTTGGTCCCCTCTCCATCAAGGAAAAGACTTTTTTTTTTTTTTTTTTTTTACAATAATGACTTGAATCTCTGCATCCCATACATTTGGCATGATGCCAAGTATACAGAGCACACCAACATGTTTGATGAACAACTGAATGATTCTTCCTGAGCAATACCCCACACAATGACTGTTGCCCTTGCTGGGGCTCCTGACAAAACATGCTGCTCCTCTTCCCAAGGGGGGAGGGGAAGAAAAGATCTGAAATCCTTGAAACCTTACAGAATATCAGGGTGATATTCCACTTTCTCCTTTTTCTCAGCATAACCCACACCCTCCCCAGAAGAGAT